AGAGGACAAATAGAAATGCTCAGAAAAAAATGTGCTTCAAAGACAATATATTAGAGTATGGCTTCTTTCTTTGCACGTGTATGAATTCAAGCTTCTGGATGTTTCAGGTCTTTGTATGGAGGTTTGACTAAACTAGGGCGTTATATATATATATACACATATATATTGGAAAACCTGTACATAATTATTAGGTTGCAAGAATTTACATTTAACAGAGAGACCAAATCCCCGAAAATTAAGAGAATTGCAATGAATATATCCACGAAATGGAATATTAATTATTAAATAGATTTTTTTTTATTGAATATTTTATGTAGTTAGAACCATGCATGATTAAGTGGGCGCACCCAAATGATGGTCAAATTTCATGACAAGAATTTAATATTACTGTTCAGGTTTTGATTTAATTGGGAAGAACAACCCAACAAAAGCAACAATCATTTAACTCTCACTCTGCACCGCACGTATTCTGCAGTAGAAATTGATATTGCTTGGAGCTTGCCCAAACTTAAATTTTTTTTTTTTTTTTTTTTTTTGAAAAGAAACAATATATTTGATGCAAAACTGAGCACAGTAACATTTTAAAATTTATATAACCGACTTCGTTTGGTGGGATAAGGTTTGAGTGTTTTTGCTCAAAGGAAACGTTGACTTCATTGGACTTTTAAGAGGGAGTACAGACTAAATCTTGGAGGTGAACATCCTGCATGATATTATCAGATTTAATCTCGCTTGAAACTGCATAATTATCTTTAGATATTGCAAATTAGCTAAACAATGAGATAGCTCTTGCAACAATGTGAATTTAATAAGAATGAATTTCACCTTCTGCAAGCAAAAACTTAAATCTTCAATCAGACGGAAGATTCTTGCTCTTTTTCATTAATTAATTCCAGCTACCAAATATACGATCCATCACTCTAAAAGGCGACCCCAAGCAAACAAAATTTTCCGCTTTGCAAGGATCAGAGAAAGGGAGAAACGTATGTGGTACGCAGCCTTATCCTTGCATTTGTAAAAATGATGTTTTCACAACTCAAACCAGCGACCTTTGGGTTACAAAATAGCAATATTTTTGTTGCGACAAAGTTCGCCCTCTATGACCCATCACTCTCCAACACAAAAATTTCTCATGCAAACCAAAATGACATCATCGAGCTGAAAAGTTCAAAATTCAAAAGGTTGAAATTAGAATTGAAAAAAAATAGTGTTCACTCTTCATGAGGAAATTAAGATTTAGATTTTTGTCCCAAAACAAGTAATCATAAGTTTATTATTCTGTCTCTTAAAAAAGAATATTACAACAACCAAAATATACATTAAAAAATGAATATTTCCACATTTACCAAACATATGTATAATAAAAAGACGAAATAAATTCATCAACCAACGAAAGACTAAACCAGTAACAAAAAGAAAGAAAAAAAAGAAGAAGAAGAATTTAAAGCACACACAAAGACGAAATAAATTCATCAACCAACGAAAGACTAAACCAGTAACAAAAAAAAAAAAAAAGGAAAAAAAAAAGAAGGATTCAAAGCACACACCTAAACTCTAGCATGCTTATCCAGGATCCTACTGTATAAACTCAGATTAATTAGATTGAATTGTTCTTCAACTCAACGGTTACAGTCCCTTTCACTTACCGGGCACCTGGTGTCGGTCCCACGCGTTTATAATATACATATGGTACGTGTATTTAAAGAGCTGAAGGTTGAGAGTTGAGACAGACCCACAAAACCAAAGCACAAATTAAGAGATTCAAAAGCAGAAAAAATGAAGTCAATTAGTCTCATTCTTTCATCAATCCTCTTCTTAATTCATTTCTCTCTTACCCACGCCGCTGGTGGCAAATGGCAGCTCTTGCAACAAAGTGTTGGCATTTCCGCCATGCACATGCAGCTTCTGCGCAACGACCGTGTCGTCATGTTCGACCGCACAGATTTCGGCAAATCTAACCTGCCCTTACCCAACGGAGAATGCGTTCGAAACGACTGCACCGCCCACTCCGCCGAGTATGATGTCAAAACTAACACAGTCCGCCCTCTCACTCTTTTAACCGACGTTTGGTGCTCTTCCGGAGCTGTAGCCCCCAATGGACGCTTAATCCAAACTGGGGGTAACGGCGACGGAGAGCGCAACGTTAGGGTTTTCGAGCCCTGCACGGGTTGTGATTGGAAGGAGTTTGAGAATGGCTTAGGCGCTCGGCGTTGGTACGCTACGGATCATATTTTGCCCAACGGACGGCAGATCATCATCGGCGGTAGGCGGGAATTCAACTACGAGTTTTATCCAAAGACCGGGTCTTCGAGCAAAGTCTACAGCTTGCCCTTCCTTGTGCAGACCGATGACGCCGGCGAGGAAAACAATCTTTACCCTTTTGTTTTCCTCAACGTGGATGGGAATTTATTTATCTTTGCGAATAATCGAGCTATTCTATTCGATTATGCAAAGAACAATGTCGTCAAAACCTATCCACAAATACCGGGCGGCGACCCAAGGTGTTACCCTAGCACGGGTTCAGCCGTGTTGCTGCCGTTAAAAAATTTGGCGGCTCCGGCTGTTGAGGCTGAGGTTTTGGTTTGCGGCGGAGCTCCAAAGGGGTCTTTTGTCAAGGCAAATCAGGGTACTTTTGTGGAAGCTCTAAACACATGCGCTCGGATCAACATAAACAACCCGAAACCCCAGTGGGTTATGGAGACTATGCCTCAAGCTAGAGTCATGGGTGACATGTTATTGCTTCCAGATGGCACTGTTCTACTCATCAACGGTGCATCATCAGGAACTGCAGGTTGGGAAATAGGGCGCAATCCGGTTCTCAACCCGGTTGTGTACCGACCTGACAACGCAATTGGATCACGGTTTGAACAACAAAACCCTACCACCATACCGCGGATGTACCATTCCACCGCGATATTGTTACGCGATGGTAGGGTACTAGTTGGAGGTAGTAACCCTCATGAAAAATACGAGTTCACCAACGTGCTTTTCCCAACTGAATTGCGACTAGAGGCATTTAGTCCTGATTATTTGGGCGCTAAATACAATAACTTGCGTCCGCAAATCGTTGCGCCCATATCACAAGCTAAGATCAACTACGGAAAGAAACTATCCATTCAGTTTTCGGTGAAGGGAAACCTAGCAACAAAATCAGTGTCAGTGTCGATGGTGGCGCCCTCATTTAATACACATTCGTTCTCAATGAATCAGAGGCTGCTAGTTCTTGAGGCGGAGAACGTTAAAAAGGTAGGAACAACGGCCTACCAAGTTCAGGTGACTACGCCGGCTTCCGGTAATCTTGCACCTTCAGGATATTATCTTCTGTATGTGGTTCATCAAAAAATTCCAAGTGCTGCCATCTGGGTCCAAATTCTGTGACAAAATGAAGGTATTTAAATTTGTATACGATGTTTCCTCTTCCTTTTTATTTTCTTTGAAAAAAAAAGATTAATTGTGAGTTGAAAAAATAAAAATGTTCATCGATAGAGATCAAACTTCAAAAGCAAACAGTTTGATTAATTCTGTGTGTCATTTTAAAGAATTAGGACCATGTAGCAATTTCCAAATTGTATTTGATTTTTCTTACCAAAGATTACAAGTTGTAATTAATCTAATGAATAAAGTTGTATTAATTTCCATCGAACTTTTTTGGCGCCAGTGCTTTTTTATGTACTTGCAAAGAGTTTATTTTGCAAGTTTTGCACACAAGTGGATATGGTGTGATTTATACCCATGCGTTCCGAATTCGAAACTGCATTCTTTTAAATTATTTTAACAGTTTCAAATCTTCTCTTCCCTTGTAATAAAAGTTTTTAACAATTTATCATATCCGACTGATATCAATGACCATCGTCAATGGAATGATACACTATATGTGGACAGATTGGTAATTAGAAAATGGTGCAGCCGAGTAGAAAATGATGATTGTTAATTTTGAACAATTAGTGCATCTTTCGAACACGTGACGTGACGAGTTTTTCTTTAATAAAGATGCCTTTTTTTTTTTTTAATTGAGTACAATGATACCAGTAAAATTAAATGTCGGTTGCATGGAAGAATCTTTCTTCTATCAATTGCGTATAGAGCATCGGCTTCCCTCGTTCGTGGCCTGAGTGGGACCAATGCACTAACTGTGGGCTGGTAGCTTTTCAGAATCCTTACAATTATATATATACGGGCCTGCAGCTTTTCGCAGAGCCCTTGTTTTAAAACCCGTGCAGAACAGCAATTATATAGCTCAGTGTCTCCACTAGTTACTATCACTGATCAATGTGGTTGGTGCTTGGTGGAACCCCTCCGTTAAATGTGGGAAGAACTCCAATTTTACTCAATTTTACAAAAAAGAATACTGAGGCATGTTTTGGCTTGCACTCAGGGGCAAATCCATTTTGAAACAAGGTAGGTCAGCTCATTCCGCTCAGAATTCCTTGCGGAAGGGTCGGGTGTTGCGGTTTGAAAATCTAAAATGCCTTTAAAAGTTGCTCTATAATTGCTCAACGAGTTGCCTCTGTGGGCATTGATAAGGATAGCTGCTAGCCCCATACCTTTGTATGCATTGCTATGGGTTCTTTTGATAGGCTCACTCGACATATGTTAGCATATGTCAGCATGTTTGCTCAAAACCTTTAAGTATTGACATCAGTCGATATGTTCGCTTGGAAACTGTTGACATTTGTCGACAGGCCTGCAATATGACTTCCAAATTACCTCAAGCCTACAAAGGCTCGGTGAAACACCAATTTGCATGCTATTTTGTCAAAAAATAATTTGCACGCGCAACATGTTATTCTTAATGACATCACAATAATATTTGAAGTGTATTGAAATTCAAAAATATTTTATTTAAAAATATTTTCATTTATTTGAAAAACACTTTCAATCGAACTCCTAATTTCATAATACTAATTGTATACAACAATATTCTTTGTATTTGTGAACGAGTCGTGACTAGGAAAAACTCGGCCGAGTTGTATAACTAGAAGGCAAAACGACATCGTTTCAAGTACATACTCAAATCATCCCGACCCAGTTTACCTCTTCCTTTGAGAAAAATTGGAAGCTTTGGTGGTTCGATGGAGGCTTGCAAAAAGGGCTACGCATGGGCAGTCTCAGCCGGGCTCTGCGCCGCTTCCGCCGCCATTTCGGCGAAGCTCATCACTAATCAGGTGCCCTTCCGATATTCAATTTCACGAATTTAAGACCGTTGGATTTACATCTCAAAAACCCTAGAATCTCTTGATGTAGTAATTCACGTGATAAATTTTTGGGGATTTTCACAGATTGTAAAGTACTGTTTCGTGGTATTATTCAACGTGACGATGTGGGGGTGCTTTGTGCAAAGCTTAAAAAATCTGTCGTCTCTGCAAGCTACAGCGACGAACTTTGCTACCAACTTCCTCACTTCTGGTCTGGCTGGATACTTTTTGTTTCAAGAACCCTTATCTGAGAAGGTAAATTCATTGTTTTTGTTCCGTTTTGTGTTAATTTTAATGAAGTTTTTGTCATTTACGCAACCTTACCCTTATTTGCAAATAGGCTGTTTCTATGACTCGAATCTGTGACATTTCAGTCACAAAGAAGCAACCTTTCCGTTGCGTCAAGACTCGCCCTTTGTTTTCGTGACTAAAATGCTCAAAATTATTAACTCTGCCAAGTTTCTTGTCTAATGCATTACTGAATACAAATGCGTGGAGCAAATGAAAAAAAAAAAAAAATGAATGGATGACACTGTTGTCGTATGCGACATGTTTACTTACTTGAAAGGGGAAGTCGTTGATCATGAAAGGGAAAGAAGGAATGAGTACGAGATCTATTAGTCATGTCGTATTTCATATGATTCATAATTTTTAAGTGTTAGATTATGGACTCTCACAATTTTCTTTTATTTCACATGTTAGTAAATAAAAAGGAAGTCGGTAATTTGAATAATTCTAATACCCATGTTTTACTTGATGTGGGGACGAATCAGAATAACTCCGGTACTCATGCCATGTAAGTAAACAAGCCACCTAGTAGTATGTGTTTAGGCCATAAAAGTGGTGGGAAATGTTTGACCTTCACTAGTAGGCCTTTAACTCTGTTGTCAGTGATCAAATGATTCTGAAATTTATTTCAGTCAACGAAGAAATCGAAAACAACTGGTTCTTTTCACATAAAACATTTGAATGAACCATGGGTTATATGGCTGCTAGTGTTTCTTATCTGGTAAAATCACAGAATGGTGATAGACGACGGAGTTTCTTCACCAATTATTTCGTTTCTCTGTTGGGAGAGGCCGCAGAATTGCTGCTGCTTGTACATTGTTTTTACGCCTGCATATAATTGTTGTTTTTACACCTGCATATAATTGTTCATAGTAAGAACATTGAGAAAATGTGGCTTTAACCTTGCTTGACATATTTCATTTGCATATCTGATGGAAAGGCTTGTTGGCAGTGGTTTGCAGGTGCCCTGCTCATTGTCATTGGCGCTCTCGTGCTTAGTAAGTCAAGTGTCGAGAAGAATGTTCATACGGATTAATGTTTCTGCATTCCACTTCGTGTTCTCGCATTTGGTTGAGAGATTAGATAACTATAGATTTTGCGAGGATGTACATTTAACTAAACAGTTGAACAATCTGTTTTGTTTATGTGTAATTGTGCTTTTTGTGTAATTTTATACTTTGGTGACTCATTTTGTGAATAAGATTATTCATTCTTTTCATTTCATTGTATTCGTGTATCAAATAAAAGAGTGTGCAGAAACAGAAAAACAGTGTGTGAAAATCATTTTCGATACTTAAACAAGCTGGATTCCTATTTCCTTGTTGGTCTTAATCGTGACGATTCCAATGGCTTGCTCCCTCTCTTCCTCTTGCACTTCTTGGTCTTGTTCTCCGTCTTCGTGTCGTCCTCGGGAGATAGGTAAGGGTTTGATCCTGTCATAGGGACTGGTTCAACAGACGATCTCTGGCAGAAATTTTAAGAATGCGTTATGCTTGGCAGTTTTGATATAGTAGGGTTTGGTGACTTTCTTTGGTCGTTAAAATCTCCAGCCCAACGCTGCGTCGCAATAGCCTACTCGCTCGAGTCTCGACTCAGACGAGTCAGATAGGTGGGTGCGTCATCTGTTTGTGGGCCTGGCCTGGCAAAATTCAGATTTTTCTTTACTTTTTGGGCTAAAGCCCAACCATTGAAAACCAACCTCAAAGCTATGTGTGCAAGACGCTGCCATCTTCATGGATCATGTGCACATGACCCAAAATATTGTCCACCTCGGTCAAGTTCTACCAAATAACCGGACCTAGAACACCAAACCAAGATAATAACCAAGGCTATCTCCGATCGACCCAGCCAGCTCTTTAGCACCAGAATGTCAAGCTTGACATTTTGCCACCCCTTCCAGCTAAACCCATTTCAATGCCAACAACTAGTTGATGTCATGCTGTCGTTAGGTTACTATTGGAATTTGATTTTTTTTTTTTTTTTTTTTTTTTTTTACGAATTTTTTTCCTATAAATACCTAAGTCATTCCTACACCATTTCTCATATACTTTTCACCATTCCATACTATCTTACCTCATTTTATTTCAATTATTCACATTCTATTCTCTTACCTCTTCCAATAATTTTTCTTTTAATTTTTTCAATAATTTTCAAATAGCCACATCAACAATGAAATGAAAGGCTTGGATATAAAAAGAAGATAAAGCTCTTTGTAGGGTTTACAGATGGGTTTCGGAAGATAGTGTCAATGGTAGTTCTCAAATAAGTGAAAGTGTTTGGAGGTGTGTGAATTCTACCCCAATATCCAGCCAATTTATTAATATTAGAAGCTAACGATAAGAAGTGCCACGTAAATAAGAATCTTATCTAAAATTTACACAACCAATTACATCTCGACACGTAGTACTCGAAATCCTATCCAAAAAATTATTAAGATTACATAAAGATAAGAAATCTGGAGAGTTACTCACTTTAACGACACGTGTTACTCGAAATCCTATCCAAAAAATTATTGAGATTACATAAAGATATGAAATCTGAATAGTTACTCACGTTAGCGACACGTGTCACTAGAAATCCTATCCAAAAAATTATTGAGATTATATAAAGATAAGAAATTCGGAGGCTTATTCATTTGGCGACAAGTGACACTCAAAATATGTCCGAAAACTTTATTTTAATATGGTAATTTAATTTAAATAACCATATTAATTCAATTAAAATAATAAATTATGTTTGGCCTATAGCTCTTTGATCCTCTCGGTTAAAGATGTTTTTTTGTTAAAGGGCTATGTTTGGCCTATGGCCCTATAGCCCCCTTGGTTGGATATGGTATAAAATATGGTCTAACACTGTTCATTAAAATATAATTTATTGCAGGGCTAAAGGAAGGCTTTTGGTCATCATTCAGTTGGAGATAGCCTAAGGGCTCATTTGATAATACTTTTAAAATGACTAAAAGTGTTTTTAATGAAAATGTTTTTGAGTTCAAAAAGCGTTAAAGTGCTTCATGCAAGAATAACATAACTGGTGCCTTTTGTAGGAGACACTTTAAGTGCTTTTCCAATATTCACTTGCATTTTTACTAAGGACTGGTTCCAAACATATTTCACTATAAGTGCTTTCAGCTATTTTAAAAGCACTTGCAAACGAACTCTATACTTGGTCTAATTTCTAATGCAAGTGAAATTCAATAGCTACGCATGTATTTTTTGTTGTTGTAAAGTTGTAAAAGGAATTTTGAAAACTACTCTGATCTACATGTGGTTGATGATTAACGATGATGATGAATGATTGATATAGACGTGTACATTAGAGATAAAAAATAAACACATAAAATTTTGTGTGAAAAAATAAACGTTGTTAATTACTTAAATCGACATGTTAGTTCTCTTATTGCAACATAGTAATTCATTATTCTAATAATGAGAAAGTAAAAAAAGGAGGGGAAAATACAGTAGAGTACAAGTCCACATCTTACATCCTGGCTTGGTCCTCTTTGTCTCTGAGAGAGTCTGGTGAGAGAGAGCATCCAAACGAAAGTAAGAAAATTCTTCTCCTTCTTCTTCCTGACTACTCCCCTTCCCTCATCTTCTTCCTCAAAAATCAGGGTTTTACTGAACTCCCCCACTCTCCTTCTCCGGTGAGCTCCGATTCCCTTCCACCTCTTCTTCCATGGCGATTGTTTTTCATTTCTGCAGATTATATTTGTGGTATTTTTCGTCTGATTTTTTACTTGAGCTTGGTTTTAGGTGGTGGTCTTCAGAGCTGCTTCGATTTAGTTTGGAATTAGTTGTTGTGTGTTTGATAATTTCGATTGCGGTTGTGTTTTTATTCTGCAAGTGATGCTTTATCTGTGTGATTGAATTGGAGATTTTGGGATTTCTAGGGTTTTACTTGTGCTGCTTTAGGAAATTAGGAACTGCTTCTTGGAACTTTGAAGCTATTGTTTTTATGAATTTTTGAAAGTTTGACGATCTTAGCTTCGTTTAGAATTGATTGGATGTTGAAAACATAAAAAAGTCGATTTTAAGTTAGTTCTGTCTTGGTTAATTTTAGAACAACAGCAATAACAAAGCTTTTCCCACTAAGTGGGGTCGGCTGTATGAATCCTATAACGCAACTGTGCTCTGTTTTGCTCCCAAGTCTTTCGTTAGTCTTCTTTTTCAAAGACTCTTTCCATGTCTTCCTAGGTCTTCCTCTACCCCTAGCCTCTGTCTCATAATCGCATTTTTTAACCGGAGCATCTGTAGGTCTTATCTTGGTTAATTTTAGTACAATCTGTAAAAATTCATAGGAACCGTGTGCATTTTTTTATCGATATGCTCTGGAAATGACATAATGTTTCCGAAATTAGAGATGAAGAAATCGGTTGAGTTGCTGAATTTTATGTTTAAGGTGACTAGGGTATTTAGTCTTGAATGACTGCATCTATAATCTTGTTTAGGGTTCTCCTGGATTATTCTGCTTAACTTTGTTGCTTCCGCTTAACTTCTGCAACCTATAAACGAAATACGGACATTTATCTTAATGGGCATCAACTGCAGGATATGTAGCCTCAGTCGGAGTTTGATGTTTAACCAGTGTAGTGTTATACTAGCTGCAGAGGTGTGAAACTTGCATCTGCAGCTGTTGCTATTTACTGATCTCAAATGGATGACGGTGGCCATCGTGAAAATGGAAGACACAAAGCGGATCAGTATAAAGCAGCTCAGGGTCAGGTATGTGGAAGCAATTTTCTGAATATGGCTACCTAAATTGATTATCATGTGAATTGACACGTAAAGTCTTTCAGAAGGTATGCGGTATATAAATATCAATGCTTATCTGATGCTATTTTTTTTCTTTTTTTTTTAGTGGTTGATGCACAATCAGCCATCAATGAAACAGGTAATGGCCATAATGAGCGAAAGAGATGCAGCTATTCAAGAAAGAAATTTGGCCTTTTCCGAGAAAAAGGCTGCCCTTGCAGAGCGAGACATGGCATTCCTGCAACGAGATGCAGCAATTGCAGAACGAAATAGTGCCATAATGGAACGAGACAGCGCCATTGCAACTCTTCACTACCGGGATAACTCCTTAAACAGTGGCAATGGATCTTCATGCCCTCCAGGTTGCCAAATTTCACGTGGGGTCAAACATATGCACCACATGCAGCAGCAGCAGCATGTACATCACATGCCGCACATGAATGAACCTACTTATGGTACGAGGGATATGCACACAAGTGATTCCATCACAATGCCACCAGAAACTTCAGTGCCTACAAAGTCACGGCAGCCCAAACGACCAAGGGAGCCCAAGACAACGCAACCAAATAAGAAACCTTCAAAATCTCCAAGGAAGATGAAGAGGGAGAGTGAGGACTTAAATAAGATGACGTTTGATAAATTACATGACTGGAAGGGTGGCCAGGATATGGGTGGTGAAGGTGATGATCTTAACAAACAGGTGGTTGTGTCAAAGTCAGATTGGAAAGGTCAGGACCTGGGGTTGAACCAGGTTGCGTATGATGAGTCGACCATGCCAGCACCCATGTGCTCGTGCACCAGTCTCCTCAGGCAATGCTACAAGTGGGGGAATGGTGGTTGGCAATCCTCATGTTGCACAACTACAATGTCGATGTACCCATTGCCAGCAGTGCCCAACAAAAGACACGCCCGTGTAGGTGGGAGGAAGATGAGTGGGAGTGCCTTCAACAAGCTACTTAGCCGACTTACAGCTGAAGGCCATGATCTCTCGAGCCCAGTTGATCTCAAGGACCACTGGGCCAAGCACGGAACAAACCGCTACATCACAATCAAGTAGATGAAAATTGGGTAGAGGCACGTGCAGGTAGGAGAAGGAACATAGTGATTGATCATGTATGCATTTCAAATTTTCTTTTCGGCTCGATGGCGGAGGGGAAATAATGATTCGACAATAGGCAGTTGGATGTAGTAGGATTTGGGAGCGTTGCTATGTGGTTGTCTAAGGCCTTGGCTATTTCTTCCCAAATTTTTTCGACATTAGAACTAGCTGAATGGGTTGATAATGCAGTAAGATTTTCTGGAAAACTGAGGCCGGTCGGAAATCGAGGAAGCAGGAGGGCCATTTCGACACCATCTTGGCGTGAAGGATTTCAATCATCCCATGTAATTGAAGGGTTTGTAGTTTACTAATAAGAACATAATAACTGTAATTACGTTAGCGTTTCTTATCAACGTTTCCGGCCATCGTTTATTGGTGTATTTCCCACACCAGTTGATTTTTCTCTTCCTAAATCTGTGCAGGACATTCAAATTTGAATCACTTCCGACTTCAAACCAAATGTAGCGAATTTGGCACTCCATTGTTTATGTGCACATTCCGGAACCGAATCAATCGTATATGTAACACCGTCGGTGTAGCGATTTTGGCACTCCCAGTTTAGCGGCACAAAACCAAAATCATTCTAGCTTCATAATTTGTTTTTCCTACATTTTATTCTTTCATGTTTACTTGTTCTCCAATTAGAAAATGTTCCGGTTAGCAGCTAACGGAAGATTTAGCACTAAAATGACGGCAATGCATTCTAAGATTTACAGAGCCGGCTCCACTTGGTGAAGTATTATTGTTTACTTGTTCTCCGATGTAGAACCGTATGTATTGGTTGGTATTGAAGTTCAAATTTGAAAAAAAAAATTACTTGAACGATTACGATTAAGCTATGTTAATATAATTTGAAAAATATGTAGTGTTAAAAGCTGTGTCAGATAACATGCTTTCAGCATCCGTACGTCAGACAGGGATAACTGTTAATTTTGTGATCTCATCATCCACAGCAATTTAATCAAACAAAAATATACAAATTAAAAAATAAAAAAAAAACAGAGAGCCTTCAGACCGTCCTAGTTCATGATACTTTTTTATCAACACATTACGCAAGTTTTACGTTGCGATTCTGTCGATTTAACATAGTCATCACCGGCCCAACATTCGATCAGCAAAACAACATTGAAAATTGCATTTCGAAAAATCCGAAGAAAAACAAAACATGTTTCTTAAAAACCTTTGAAAAATCGAAAGATAAGATAAATGAGAAGAGAGAAGAGAAAATGTTAAGGAACATCGAACACCGACAGTAAGCAAGCTCCCAAAAACATATAAAAAATCAAAGAGAGAGATTTTGGGGTTGCGGACGGAGAAGCCGGCGATGGTGAGAGGCTGCTAGGGTTTCAAGGTTCGACCGATGGATTAAGGTTGCCTTCGACCCATTTATAAAAGATTTCGGAAGGGTTTTGGGTTTGGGGTGTTATTGATCGGACGGCTGAGATTTGATGTGTTTGGAGTAGTGGGCTTAGTGAACTGCAGTTGATGATTGGGCCTCAAGATAGCAACGTCATTGGGCCAAGAACTGGGCCTGGAACACTGCACTCTGGCCCAAAAGGTGCATGCGTGACGAGTACTGTTTTCTTGCCAAGAATTATTTTGTCAAGCGGTTGGAGTAAAGTTGGCTCCATACAAAGTCAAGAGGACGTGAACGAATTCATACCAAATGCATAAATATGATTGCTTTCAGTCAAGAATTGTATTGTCAAATAGTTGGAGTTTTATATTTTTGTTTAGTAGAGAGATAGCGGTCGTATGTTAAAGTTTCAATTAGTTGTTAGGGGTTTAGACAGTCGGTGAAAATCGAACCCATACCAAATGTATAAATATAATTGCCTTCACCTATTTATGTTAAAACGTCATATTTAAAGGAGTCTCACATTGGTGTAAATTTAATGATTCACTACTAACGGTACCCATGGATTGAGGCAAGATATGCCCACTGATACCCCAACTAAAACTAAACATTATCTATATACTCATAAATGAAGTGTAAGTCCAAACACTCAAATCAAGATACCTTCTCACCTTTTCGAGTCATGTAATTTTTCTTACAAATTTACCGTTCAAAACACCAGTTATTCAAAATCAAGTTTTTTTTTTTTTTTTTTTTTTTTTTTTTTTTGAGTACATTGATATTTTTACATTGGATTCGAATCTAATTTGGTATCGAATTCGTCATCGAAAATAAGTAAATAGCATTGTATCAAAATTTTAATTTAATTTCATCATTCAAAGTTACCCCCACTAAAACATATTTCTGACTCTGTCCATAACTGTACCAAGGCTATTGTAATCGGATCCATATCCCCTCCTGACCTTTAAAAGCCGAGCTTGCTGAGCAGAAGATCGTGACCGTTGAAATTTGATCAAACAGCTACAATTATTAAAACTTTTAGAAAGTTTTCTATTTGTAACCGTTTGATTAAATTTCATCGGACAAGATCGCTTGCTCAGCAGACTCAATTTTTAAACATCAGGAGGGGTTCCGAATCCACTGTAATCAAGCATAACGCCTCAAGAGGGTCCATTGAACTTGACCCGTTCAACATATTGCATCCAGGTGATTTAGTTAAACTAGTAAACAATTTAAGGATGGCCCATGACACAACAAGCTGTATCACATAATTTAACAGAAAGCGCAAGTTCAAAGTGTAAGACATACGATCAAAAGAAAACTTTAAAATTTGAATGTAGCAAGAAAACAACGTCTCCTAATCAACTTGACGAAACCTAAATCTACGTTAAATTATAAATTAATTGAAGGGGTCCAATCACCATTGCTGTGGTTTTGTTTGGTCGTTTCGTTATGACGTGTGACTCAACCATTTGTCACATCGTTGAATTCATTACTAAAATAAAAATCTTTGTTGACATCCTTAATTAAAGGAGAAGAAGCCGGCGATAAAGGCAGAAAAAAAAGAAGATAATCAAAACGCGTCTTGTGAAAATTGTCTGAACTCCACCTCCTACGCTACTGCTTTTTGTCGGTGACAACATTGTACTTGTATTTGTAGTCAACACCTTTTTTTTTTCTTCAAGAAAACTAATCAAAATGATTTAAAATTTTTGAGTTTTAACGATAAAAACAAAATAAATAGTAAATGAAAAGTATCATAATTGATTTTAGGATAAAAATTTAATTTTTTGTTAAAATAAATAATACCGAAGCATTCCGTTGAAGTTCTATTTTTTTTTCTTTTTTTTTTATTGTTGATGAAACGCTGTGAAATCACCGCCGTTGACATCTTTGATCATCCATTGTGTACGTCTACTGAGAACCAAAGCTGGCCAGCAGCAGCTGCTAGGGATTATATAATCAGGTACTCTGCAGCCACAATCTTAATTGATCCCATTTTTCAGATTCTTTTTTGGGTTTGATTCGATTTGCGATCTGGGTTTTTGGGTTTAGAGATTTCTGATTCACATTTGAAAAAAAAAGTAGGAAACTTGATGGTTTTTCGTTTGATGGATCGAGGTTTTTAGAGCTTTTTAGCTGAGCTTTAATGGAGGGCAGTGATGAAACTGGCAGTGCCAAGCAACAGCGGCCTAATCCAGCATTTGGGTCGTCGTCTTTCTTGGTTCCTAAGCCAAACAGCAATTTAGATATTCCCAATTTCAACCCCTCTCAAATGGGTTTCCGTATGAGTCCTGAGAGCAGTAAGAGACCTGGGATTCCTCCTTCGCACCCGAATAATCACAATTCGATGCCTTTTTCGAGGCCTCAATCGGGTTCTTTGCCCCCATTGAGCTCAGGGTCATCCCACACTAGGTCTATGTCTCAACCTCCTTTCTTCTCGCTTGATTCTTTGCCCCCATTGAGCCCTTTGACGTACCGCGAGCCCTCGCCTCCTTCTCTGTCTGACCCGAACTCTGTTGATGTTTCTATGGGGGAGAGTGTTGTTAACTCTCATGGAGCTTCGCTTCGTTCCCCGGTTCATGACAGCACTGCGTATTGGGCTGGAGATGGCCGTCCTCCTCGCAGAGGGCACCGGCGCTCTAACAGTGATGTTTCATTAGGACTCTCAGCGATCAGTCAACCTTCGCCGCAATTGATCCCTGTTGGGCACCGAACGAGTTTGGATGAATCGGCTTCTGGAAAGCCAGTTCAGTTGATGAGCCAGGGATCAAATGGTAATGCTGAGGGAATGGACGAGAGGAAATCGGGGGGAGAGGTTGTGGATGACTTGTTTAATGCATACATGAATTTGGAAAACATTGACCAAATGAACTTGTCGGGTAACGAGGACAAGGATATGGATAGCAGAGCCAGTGGCTCGAAGACGAATGGCGGCGAGAGTAGTGATAATGAAGTGGAAAGTGGTCTAAATGGGAGTCGTAACGGCATGCCAAGGCCAGCTTCAGGTCTTCCAAATGAGAGGAGGGAAGGACTCAAAAGGACCGCCAGCGGAGATGTTGTACCTAATGCTCGACATTGCAGGAGTATTTCAATGGATAGTTATATGGAAAATCTGAATTTCGACGATGAACCACTGAAGCCCCTGCCGGTGGGCCAACAATCACCCAGCACTTCGCTAGATGGGAGCTCAGCCAAGTTCAGCATGGAGTTTGGAAGTGGTGAGTTCAATGCAGTTGAGCTGAAAAAGATAATGGAAAATGATAAACTTGCTGAAATAGCGCTATCTGACCCCAAACGTGCAAAGAGGTATCATGCATTTAACTTCTGTCTTGTATCTGTTTGTATCGGATATCTTGTTTAGTAAATGTGCTCATGTTTTATGAATTCATCCAGGATTTTAGCTAACCGTCAGTCAGCTGCCCGTTCCAAGGAGAGGAAGATGCGATACATAATAGAATTGGAACACAAGGTGCAAACTCTGCAGACAGAGGCAACCACTTTGTCTGCCCAATTCACGTTATTGCAGGTAGTTTTTTTTTTTTTGGGTGTTCTGATTCGAAAGTCTACCTCTTGCCATTTTGAAACTAATCTTCATGGTATGGCCACTGACTCTGTGCTATATGTACTTGTGTCCAGAGAGACTCCATGGGTCTTACAAGTGAGAACAATGAATTGAAATTTCGGCTTCAATCTTTGGAACAACAGGCCCAACTTAAAGATGGTATTGTGCTTTTTCTTCAGCTCTTTATATGTCTACCGAAAATCACAGTTATCATACGTGCCATATAAACTGTATCATTTTTAGTGAAAACTCGTCAACCAAAACAAATGTTTAAAGTTCCGGATGCATACGTAATTATGCTATTAAGCCTTCACCAATAGGTCAATTTGATTAAAAACTCTTGTTCTTGTTACATGTAAGTTTAACGGTTTAACCTTATCCGGCTATAAGCATTATTTTCTCATGTCTTTGATAGGCCACGGTCCACCTCCTTGACTATAAACTTTCATTTCATTTCTACCAATTACTGAAAACCTTGGAACCAGTAACTTTTCAGTTAGTTTCAGCAATCCTAAAAGAATAGCAATAATATCGGCATATTCTTTGCATTTCTAGATAAAGACGCAGAACTCTCATAGCCAACTTAAACATCAACTGAAATAGATGTCGTTTTAAGACGGAATGCAGGATATGTATTCACACAACCCTTTAGACCTAAAATCGATATCTTGATAACAGAAAGGACCAGGGAATGGCCCCTAGCTGAGATTTCAATCCTGGGCCCCTGGCTGAGAAAGGGATTGAGCTCGATTGACCCTTGTCCACTCCCCGTCCCTGTTTCAAAAACTTCGGTGGGTGGTAGTTAGTTGAATTGCCCACTGCAGAGCTTGATTAACACCTGGGCCCTTTGTGGTAACATTTGTACAAGTATCAGGTGATGGATGTTCCCGCAGATGTCGGAACTGGATTATAACATTTATAAATGCTACTTTTGAACTATTAAAATACCCTTGTCTGACCACGTATGATTTAGCTTATGATCAACTCCTGCTGATGTAGATGTGATATGGACTAATATTATCTTCCTTTTATTTGGGTCTATGGTGCTGCAGCTTTAAATGAGGCCTTAACCGGAGAAGTCCAGCGACTAAAGCTAGCCGCTGCAGAGCTCGGTGGAGAAAGCCACCTCTCAAACCATACTCAACAGAACACGCAACCGCAGCAGTTCGTGCAGCCTCAACAAAATTGACCACCTTCGCATCGCCAGAACCAGAACGGCAATGCTGCTGCTAAGCTTGAGTTGAACCAATAGGTTGGCCAACGCAAACGTTGGCTTGCGTTGGTCTCTTTGGTGCCAAAATTTACTTTGAAATATGATGTCATAATTAAATCTATATGTAATTGTCTAAATTAATTGACATATATATTCTTAAGAAGCTTATGTAACTTAATTCATTTTTTGGTTTTCTGTACTGCGAATTTTCATGATAGAAAGAAGATGCAATATTGCCTTAAGAGCAAGTGAACTATGTCCTAAACTCCTTTTATTTTTCATCACATTATTCTTTTTGGTATTTGACGGAAACCGACCGCAATGACGTTTTAAGATTCATACGCTGACTCTATTTAGTGAGATGAGATAAGAGTTTGTGGTTGTATTATTCCTTTGTAATCAATGAGCCTAATTATGGTAACCATAATTTTAATTGATAATTGCCATTGAATTGTGACAAAATTTATCATAGATAAGTTTTATTTACGTGGAATCCAATCATTATACAAATATAGAAATTAATTTAAATGTTATATACTAAACCATAATTTTTTCCCATATATGCTTAATTATAATATTTTTTTTTTTTTTTGTAAGCGATAAGATTATATACTAAAATTATTTGAGCTACCAGAAATAATAATTCGAACTTGAATACAGAAAAAAAAAATCATTCTTCTCTAATTAACTTAACTAAATTCGAATATGCGCCGGATTATAAATTGTTAAACGGTTCCAATTTGGTTTTGTTTGCTAATGACTTGTGATTCGATCATTTCTTCGCTTCGTTGATTTGGTTAATGAAATATAAAAATCTTTGTTGATATTCTTAGTATCTAAATCGTATCCTCGACGCACTGAAAATGTCTCCCTCAATACAAGGAGAAGAAGCCGGTGATAAAGGCAGAATATAAATATAAAGAAAAACGCGTCCTTTTGTGAAATTGTCTGAAGTCCTACTACTATGCGTATGCTTACTGTTCATGGTGACATTGTATTTGTAGTAAACAACAACAATTTTATATGATCAAAGCGCCGTGAAATCTCCGCCTTTGACATTTTTGATTACCTCTTCCTTTGCTTCTGCTTGCCGTTCTGCACTTCTACTGAGAACCCAAGCAGGCCGGTTAGCTGCTACGGATTATATAAAATCAGGTACTCTGCAGCCGTAATCTTTGAAAAATCCCATTTTTTTGTTCTCTCTAGGGTTTAATTTCGTTTTTCGATTTGGGTTTTTGGGTTTGGAGGTTTTTGATTCACATTTGAAGAGAAAGTAGGGAACTTGGATGGTTTTGTTTTGTGTGAATCAACGTTTTTAGAGCTTTTTAGCAGAGCTTTAATGGAGGGAAGTGATGAAACTGGAAGTGCTAATAAGCAGCAGCGGCCTAATCCAACGTTTGGGTCGTCGTCTTTCTCGGTTCCTAAGCCAAACAGCAATTTAGATATTCCCAATTTCAACCCTTCTTCTCAGATGGGTCTCCCCATGCGTCAATCTTCCCCAAGTTTGAGTCCTGAGAACAGTAAGAGGCCCGGGATCCCTCCTTCGCACCCGAATAACCACAATTCGATGCCTTTTTCGAATGTCATGAGGCCTCAATCGCGTTCTTGGCAGCTGGGAACGCAGAATTTGAGCCCAGGGTCATCCCACACTCGGTCTTTGTCTCAGCCTCCGTTTTTCTCGCTTGATTCATTGCCCCCATTGAGCCCTTTGACTTACCGGGACCCCTCGGGTCCTTCGCTCCCTGACCCAAATTCAGTTGAAGTTTCCATGGAGGAGACTGTTGTTAATTCTCATGGACCTTCGCTTCGTTCGCCGGTTGCTGATAGCAGTGCATTTTGGGCCGGAGACGGCCTTCCCCCTCGGAGAGGGCACCGGCGCTCTAACAGTGATGTTCCTTTGGGATTCTCAGCTGTTATTCAATCTTCGCCTCAATTGATCCCTATTGGGCGGCGAACAAGTTTGGATGGATCGGCTTCTGGAAGAGAAAATTCAGGGATTGGAAAGCCAAATCAGCTGATGAGACAGGGATCAAATGGGAATGCTGAGGGAATGGACGAGAGGAAATCGGGGGGAGAGGTTGTGGATGACTTGTTTAATGCATACATGAATTTGGAGAACATTGACAAAATGAACTCGTCGGGTAACGAGGATAAGGATCTGGATAGCAGAGCCAGTGGCTCGAAGACAAACGGGGGCGAGAGTAGTGATAATGAAGTGGAAAGTGGTCTAAATGGGAATGGTAACGGCAGGCAGAGGCCAGGTTCTGGTTTTCCGAGTGAGAGGAGGGAAGGACTCAAGAGGACTGCTAGCGGCGATGTTGTACCCATCCGGCACTGTAGGAGCATTTCAATGGATAGTTATATGGAAAATCTGAATTTCGATGATGAACCGCTGAAACCCCTGCCGCTTGGCCAACAATCACCAAGCACTTCGCTTGATGGGAACTCAGCCAAGTTCAACATGGAGTTTGGAAGTGGTGAGTTCAATGCAATTGAGCTGAGAAAGATAATGGAAAACGAAAAACTTGCTGAGATAGCGCTATCAGACCCTAAACGTGCAAAGAGGTATTATGCATTTAACTTCTATCTTGTATCTGTTTGTACTGGATGTCTTTTTTATTGAATTTGCTCATGTTTTATGAATTTATCCAGGATTTTGGCTAACCGTCAGTCAGCTGCTCGTTCCAAGGAGAGGAAGATGCGATACATTCAAGAATTGGAACACAAGGTGCAAACTTTGCAGACGGAGGCAACCACTTTGTCTGCCCAGTTTACGAAGTTGCAGGTATGCAATTTTATTTGAGGTCTCTGATTCTAAGGTTACCTCTTCCTTCATCAAATAGTTACCGACTGTGTGTTATGTGCTTGTCTCCAGAGAGAATCTGTGAGTCTTACGAGTGAGAACAATGAGTTGAAATTTCGGCTTCAAGCTTTGGAACAACAAGCTCAACTTAAAGATGGTATTGTGCTTTTTCTTCAGCTCTTTATATATATTTTGAGAATTACAGTTATCATACATGCCACATAAGCTATATGATTTCAATTGAAACAACTTATCAACCAAAACAATTGTTTAAAGTTCAGGATGCATACATATTTATGTTATTGCATTTCTAATTTGGTTGAACATAAAGTTAGATTTATCCGAAGACAGGTTCCTCTATCTTCCCCTAGCTTAAACAACCTAAGAATATGTGGATTTAATCGATGACTTCTTCTTCTTGTCGTGTCATCACATGTTAGTTTGTGGGTTTAACCTTATCCAACTGCAAGTTTTCGTTGCTCATGTCTTTGGTAGTCCACCTTCTTGACTTTGGATTTTCATCACTTCTACCAATTCCTCAAAGCCTTGGAACCAGTAACTTTTCAGTTAGTTTCAAACTGTGCTGTGGCATCTCGAGGGGAAATAGATAAAGTGCTGTTGCAACGGTCTGTTTGTGATTTTCATTTTAGATGCACATATGCAGTGTTTTGAGTTAATGCAAACATACATGTAGTGATTTTTGGATGAATGGAAGCAAGGTGAGATTTTAGTCCTCCGACGCTGGTATCATTAAACTTCATATCAGGTGGACTTCTGTGGATATTACGAAGTTTGGTTTAGAGACATAATCATAATACAGGAGATTCTCCAATGATTTTATAAACCCTTGTTCCGTCCCCTCTCGTCTCAAAAACTAGATTTTAGCTCGATAGGTTTTAGGTCCATGATTTTGCCATAGTTAAATTGCCAAACTGTGGAAGTTGATTAACGCTTGGTCCCTCTGTGTTCTGTGTTGATATAAACATACAAATATCAGCTGATGAATGTCCTTGAACACATGAGCAACGGATTCCCTTAATCTTTTGTTTACGACCAATTCCTGCTGATGAAGGCGGGATCTGGACTAACTTTATCTTCCTTTAATTTGTGTCTATGATGGTGCAGCTTTAAACGAAGCATTGACAGGAGAAGTCCAGCGACTAAAGCTTGCCGCTGGAGAGCTCAGTGGAGGAGGAGGACACCTTTCAAACCGCATGGCGCACCAACTATCTCTTAGCCAGCAAATGCTTCAACTGCAGCATCTAAACCTCTATCAAATGCAACAGCAGCCACAGCACCAAGCTCAACAGAACACGCAACCGCAGCAGTTCATGCAGCAGCCTCAGCAAAATCGACCTTCGCATCACCAGAACGGCAACGCTGCTGCTAAGCCTGAGTTGAGCCAGTAGGTTGGCCAACACAAACGTTGGCTTGTCTTGGTCTCTTTGGTGCCAAAATTTGTTTTGAAATATGATGTCATATATTAAATCCATATGTAATTGTCTAAATTAAATTGAGAAATATTATTATGAAATTTATGTAACTTATAATTCATTTTTTGGTTCATTGGATATTTGGTTAATGTATGGACATTTTTTCTTGGAAAGAATACTGTTTTGAGATTTGTTTACAGTATTTTCTTCTTTTTTTTTTTCCTTTTTTTTTTCTTTTTTTTTTCTTTTTAATTATTCATAAATCCCACAACTGGGTTGGCAATTCTTGTACGACTCATTAATTCGACACGAAATAATATGAAAATAACAGTTTTGGGTCAATTTATTAACGAGTCGGATTGTTATGGGGTCACTCGTTAAGATCTGATAAAATATGTCAGATTTAGATATTAAGCAAGATAATTTTTTGCATGATCGTTAATTCGACACGAAACGACATTACCCGTTAAAGAATTAGGTTGTATCAAATTACCTGTTAAGAACTTATTAAGATAACATATTTAACATAACATAACTTTTAAAAAATAACACGAAAACAACACTAACACTACTTGTTTGTCAAATTATACCGAGTGTCCTTTAATATTATGTCCAAAAAACCAACTGTACTTTATTAGCCCAAAAATTGTATATTGCACTATAATATCATAATTTCTTTTTAATGGAAAAATATTTGAAATAGAAATTAATACCCTCACGAGAAACATACAAGCCTTCACCGAAAGCAAAAGTCGCAAAAAAAGATTAATACCGCACATTATGTGATAAGTTTTAGATATTTTACGTTGGTGTCAACATGACATCACTCGATTACATAATAATATTGTATGATAAGTTTAAGATATTTTAACGTTAACATCAAAATTTCGAAATAACATTCTTGTTGCAAGTAATTTTCGAGACTAGAAAACTACCGAGGAGGAGCAGGTAATATCAACAGGGAGATATTTTTTCCTTTAAGTATTATTTATTTTTACCTTTTCCCTTTAAAATTAATTAAGTTCCTGTTCTCGTAAACCCAACCAAATCCCTCCTTATAATATCTTCCTTTCCCATTTGAATTAGGGTTTCATTTCACATCCAATTTCTTCCTCCTGCGTCCGTCCCGGCCCCCCCAAAACCCTATGCCGCTTCCGATCTCTTCAAACTAGCCGTTACCTCCATTTCCCGCCATTCTCACCTCCATCACAGCCGTTCGTTTATCCCCTTTTGAAAACTAGCCGTTAGATCCACCGCCTCTGTAGCCTCTCCGCTTATTTTCCAGATTAAAGCTTGGCCGTCGGCTCTGCCGGAGTTCGACCTGCAATGTCTGCGGTCGAGGCGGAGAACAAGGTGGAGGATGGGGGGAATAAGCAGGTGGGGAAATCGGGAGAGCTTTTGTTCTGCGGAGGTACGTCTTGGGACGCCATTGGCCGCCGCAAAGGCGCCGTTGAAGGTAACTTGATCTCCCCCACGCGCCTCCGCCCTCTCGTCGACGTCGATATCCGATTCGTCGCCTCGGGTTGCTGTGAGTTTCGCTCTCACTGTTTGTTTCAAACAATGTGATATTTTTGGGGTTTATTTAATTGATTGAATTAATTGTTTGTGTTAATGTTGGGTTTAGCTTCGTGTCATTGTGTGGCATTGGATGTCGAAGGGCGGTGCTATACTTGGGGTCGCAATGAGGTGTGTTCGAACTTTACTTTCGGATTATTTGTTGGTGCATATGGGAGTCTCATTTTTTATTTATGCATAAATTTTATGATTTGCAGAAGGGGCAGCTGGGCCATGGCGATAGAATTCAGCGTGATAGGCCGACTGTAGTCTCTGAACTTTCAAAGTATGTTTGCCTGTTTAATGTTGAAAACGTCTTATTTCTTGATGGAAATCACCTGAAGGATTAGTTTTAATGTAATAAAACTGGAACATTTGAAAGAGTAGTCAAGAGTTAAGTCATGCAGACCCACTTGTGAATTGCGGAATGGGTCGTGTTTGGAGAACTTTTCAATATTTAAAAGTTCTGTGTTGCAGGTACAAAGTTGTTAGAGCTTCATCCGGGAAGAATCACACTGTAGTCGTTACTGAGGACGGGCATTCTTTTGCCTTTGGCTGGAATAAGCATGGACAGCTGGGTTCAGGTTCAGCAAAAAATGGTAGGTTCTACGCTGTAAAATTCGTTTGATGAAATTTTAGGAGCTTGCTATGAGAATCTGATGACGTTCTACTATTTAAATCCATCAGTATTCTCATGTTTTTGTGGCTTTCTACTATTTAGGGCCCATTTCAAATTTTTCGTGTTGTCTTGGTTACATACTTGCTAACAGCCTTTCTGGTTATGTACTTGCTTTGTTCTCTGTAGAAGTTGAGGCTTCCCCTGTTCGCTGTCAAGTTTCTGAGGTTAAAAATGTTGCTTGTGGGGGTGACTTCACTGTGTGGTTATCTAGTGTTGAAGGAGCTTCTATACTGTAGGGTCTGCAGATACATTTGAGTTTTTTTTTTTTTTTTTTAGCCAATTGCTTAGTTGGCTTGGTTCCCATTTTTTTATGGTTACCGGCTGAATTACTAAATGTTTCTTGGTTTCCAGAACTGCAGGCCTTCCACAGTACGGCCAACTTGGGCATGGTACAGATAATGAGGTATTTTTTAGGGAAGATTCCATAGGTGTTTTCTGTACATTTCTATACACCTTAATCTTTGGATAATGAGATAAAATGCTGTGATGTGCTTTCAGTATAATACTAAAGACAGCTCAGTGAGGCTTGCTTATGAAGCCCAACCACGCCCTAAAGCAATTGCTTCTCTAGCTGGGGAAACTATTGTGAAAGCTGCATGTGGAACAAATCATACAGGTTATCGCAATGCTTGCTCTCGTCTCCCTCTGTGATTGTGTATGTGTCTAAGTCTGCTGCAATATATGTCAATAGCATTAACTTAATTTTTTATTTGTTTTGAGAATACAGTGGCAGTGGATGCAAATGGCTATGTTTATACGTAAGTACTTTTATATGGCATTACCTATGTCTTGCTTCCTATCTTTTTGATTGGCGTGTTTGTTTAACTTGCAATCATTTATGGTGAAACTTCAGGTGGGGCTTTGGTGGTTATGGAAGGTTGGTGCTCGCTATTCCATAGCATTTGGATTTTTTTTTTTTTTTTTTTTTGAATGTGGATGAACTTTCGTATGGATATTTCCCCTTTTCATCAGCTTCTTTGTTGTCATTTTAATTTGGATGTTCTTACTATGCATATGACTCCTGGAGTGCTGTTTATAGGCTTGGACATAGGGAGCAGAAGGATGAATGGGCTCCTCGTCGTGTTGATGTCTTTCAAAGGAATAATATTCTGCCTCCTGATGCCATTATTTCAGCTGGTGCTTTAAACTCTGCATGTACTGCAGGTACCCAATTAATACGTTTCCAATGCTCTTTTTCTCACTTGTTCTTGTTAGATGGGGCCTTCTGCATAGCATCATAGTTTTCAAAGCTCATTAGCTCCCTCTCTAACAAATCTTAGCGTTTATACTTTTTATAGTTATAATTTGGAAGGCCATCGGACCATTTGATCTTTGTAACTGGACTCACGTTGACTGCTATAATTTTATATTTGAAAACGACCCATCACTTTTACAGCCAAGATTTCATCATAATTATTTTTTTCCTTTTTCTTTTCGTTTTCCAGGTGGAGGGCAATTGTATATGTGGGGTAAAATTAAGAATACAGGTGATGACTGGATGTATCCTAAACCACTCATGGATTTAAGGTCAGCTCTCGTCCTTGATTATCTTGATTTTGTTCTGTTCACTGTAAAAGATTTTACTCTTCTAGAGCTAGAGCAATTCTGGGTACACTATCTCCTGTTGTGGAAAGGAGCAGGGGAACTGTTTTGAATAAGATCAGAAGTTGTTTCTTGTGATAATTTGTGTAGTGAGAACTCTCATCAAAATAGCTTAGGGTCTTATCCTTTTGCCGGGATTCACAAAAACTAATATGTCGTTTCTGTTTTTGACCAAGGATGTGGCATAAATTATTTTCTTGTCTTTGTTGATAGTGGCTGGAATTTGCGTTGCATGGATTCAGGCAATATGCACCATTTCGTTGGTGCTGACTCCTCCTGCATAAGCTGGGGTCATGCTCAATATGGAGAGCTGGGATATGGCCCTATGGGACAGAAGTATGCGATATCTCGTGTTATTATACCTTCCTTTCTTTTTGATGTCTTTTCTCTCAATCTTAATCTTTGCCTGTTTAGGTCTTCTGCAGTTCCCAAAAAGGTGGATATTCTTGAGGGTATGCATGTTATGAGGTGTGTATTTGTTTTTGTATTATCTTGTCTGCATTCTTCTTACGCACCATAAGCTTCAATTATACATTCTGGCCTTAACGATTGAGGATTGTACTCTGTAGTGTTGCATGTGGACTCGGCCATTCCATGGTCATTGTTGATAGAACAACTGTTGGTGACCGACTTGATCAGGTAACTTCGTATCTCTGCCCGGTTGTTTTAAGTTCCTTTGTTTAGCGCATGGCTGCTCTCAAACTTAAAAAATATTTCTTTTTTGCAGCTTGAGGTATATGATGGCAAAGCTTCTGTAGAAGGTATGCTGATTTTGATGGTTGCAAAAGTGAGATCTTTCATTCATCCTTGGCCAGTTGGCCCGAGGACAGTTGATCCGAACTAAGTGAAGATGTAAGTTGAACCTGGTTTGTCTATTCTTTCCACTATTGTTGCAGGGAGTGAGGAACCTGTGAGTGCCGCTCCAGCTGCGAAGCAAACTCCTAAAAGGGGTGCCTCAAAAGCATCTGAAAATTCCAAGAGGAAGAAGTCAAAAGAACCTTCTGATTCGGAAGATGAAGAAGACAGTGATGAGCCTGATGACAACAGTGACGGAAGCGATGATGAGGACAGTGGCGAGCAAGAACCTAAAAGGCAACGAGGTGGGAAGACTTCTGGCAGAGGTAGGGGCAATGGAGCTAAAAAGGCGGCAGCAGCTGAGGGAAAGCGTGGACGGGGTCGCCCTGCTGCAAATAAGATCCCAAAACCTGCACCATCAAAAACTGGAACCGGTAAGAGGGGAAGGCCTCGCAAGTCGTAAGTTGTGCACGTTCCCAGCATACCAAGTCCAAATCAGAAATTTTGTTCTCTCAATGTAGAGAAGTGTACTTCATTACTCCGCGGCACTTAATTTGGGTCCCATTTCGAAGTGTTTTATTGTACTATGTTCGATTTTTATCTTCATCGTTTTCATGCACTTCAAATATGATGTGCTTAATTGATGAAAAAAACACACTGGATTGAACATTCTGTTTTTTAACATCCGGCCGAAATGAAAGAATGTGAGTGATAACTTGTACCAAAATTTTGTTTTGATGGACATTCTCGGCTCCTTATTCTTATTCCACATCTTATTAGTATTATTATTATTATTAATGTTACTATTTTATTATTAGATTTATTAATATTATAACTTACCGTAATGAGGCCTGATTGATGTGTATGTCGAATTTGGATCACTACGGACCTCACAATCCGGAGCCTAAGTATCATGGAATTTGGATTGTTCAAGAGAAAAAAAGTGATTTATAACTTGTATAAGGTGGGCCAGCATAATGAATTAATGAGGATTGTCGAATTTAATTTGAGTGATTCAGATTACCTGCTCCTTGGAATCTCTGTCTGGATCGAAATGAAGGTTTTGGAGAGAATTTTAGCATGCGCAGGTTTGTAGAGTATAATATACCACCAACCACCGGGATCCTTGGCCCTTGGATTCTTCGCCACACATAACCATCCATTAAAATGGTACATCGACATCGTAGCATGATAAAATTTTCGGATTTAAAGTCCGACTAGAATGATCTGTGGAATGAGGGGACCAATACAGGCACTCATTTTTGCTTGTAAAGTCGAGGAATGGGAAAGCTGTGAGCAGGCATCAATTGCTTTCAGACATGTTGCTGAATACTTGAATACAAAGCTTGTTGGTGACATGAGATTTAAAGCTATGGACGGAGCCTAACAGGCCCCATATTTTCCCATCATTGCTACTTTATGTCCATAAATGAGGAAACATTTGTTGAATAAGCTGAGACCCCAAACTCCTATAAGGACATGTCCTATTTCCTTTATTTGTTTGTTGGGTTGGGTTTTGTCAGCAATGTTGGCAGTCGTTTACTCGGGCGTGGATCGTGTGAATCGCACAAACACAAAAGAAAATTCAATTTCAAGTAGAAGAAATTTTGTATTGTAACCGAGACAGAATCTTATTAGGACCACCATCCAATGAGTGTCTGACATGTCGCACTTTCTTGTGCATTGGATTTCAGATGAGCTTAGAAATCAACAGCGATAATTAATCTAACTGTAATATTTTTTTTTTTTTATATAAAAAATAGAAAGACAAAAAAGAAGGAAACCAAATGCCATTTCTTCCTCAGGTCACAACTCAATATTTATGTTAACTGCAATCTTTATTATGCTATGCAGACATTTAGTAGAATACGCGGACGATAAGAGTAACAAAGCAACCAAAAAAATAAAAAATATATATATTTGTAACTAGTACTTGCTCTTGCGGCCTTGCCTACCGGTTGGAAGTGCATAAAGGCAAGTACTATTTAGAGTGAATAGTATGGGCAAGTTAACTGCCTTTTTGCCTTTCCCTTGCCCTCCTAAAACGGATAAACTGCTCTAATAGGCGGACATTAGGGGCACCGTGGGATTGTGGTAGCACTAGGATGATATATTGGATACAGTATGAAGATTTATACGAAACCAAGTAAAAAGGCTTATACGAAACGAAAACAAAGACTTATACGAAATGACAACACCCAAATGATGGTATCCCAACCAATCATACGACGCCTATATAAAAACATAAAATTCGTAGCGTCCCAAATAATTTAGGTACTGCCCTCCCCCCTCTCCAAGTACAGGCAGCCTGGCCAAAGAATAAGTACGCCAAAGAAAAGAGCTCATGGCTTTTGACAGTACAACTACGACCTCTGAGAGCAATACTATAATTGCAATAATGGCCTTGAAAAAAGCATTTTTATCATTCACGTCCTCGTCGGCCATGTGACAAGTGGGCTCCACCAGCCCTTTTTATCCTAATGGAGGAGTAGGCCCAGCGCGGTGGACGGTCATAGATCGCCGGTGTACCTTAATGGTTACCATAAAATGCTGATTGCTGAAATAATTCCCCACCTAAAGATTAAGTCCAAGACCTACATTGAATCTTAATCTTAGGGGGTAAGACGTTGTTATGCCATTAATGGTTTTAAGTGGGTTGGTGCCATTTTATGTCCATCTCCATGGTTAAGATGGACAAAGGGGATGGAGACCACACAACCATTAATGAAGTTACATCGTTAATAGTTATTTAACTAGTCATTTAGGTTGAAGAAAGATGAGAAAGATTAGGCAAAATTAGTTGATTCAACAATTGCGTGCACATTTATCCTTCTCAAGGACTGATGTACATTGCGTCTAGGGCAATTGCGTGCACATTTATCCTTCTCAATGACTGATGTACATTGCGTCTAGGATGGTCCTAGGACCATCCAGAATCCGGAAAATATATATATGCGAAGGTCTTCAAAGGACCCTCTGAATGTTTGGCACATGTTTTGTGTCTGCCAAGCGTTTGATGTAATGTCTGCTAGTACTAGGTATATCTCAACAGGTTGCTTCGACAACACCTCGACAAATTGTCTCGATACCACTCATTAGATTGCTTCGGCATATCTTGACATCTGTTGACATGTGTGAAATGGTTTGACTGACAACAACAAACCTGTCAAAGCCGTAACGTTCGAATCTTAGATCCGCCACCAATCCTCCTACGTAATGAACATCATGTAGTTTTTTTTTTCCTAGTATTATGTTTAAATGTGAGCATTCAGTTCAAAACCAATTAGTCCATAATTATTCAAATTGATTAATAAAAGACTTTTTAATTAATGCTCTCGAGTCTCAATCTTATAAGAATTTATATCGAACAAAACCATCGTATCATAAATTAATTCCAGATTATATAAATAAATTAAAATATTTGAGTAAGCGTGATCAACTTCAGATATAACGTCTCGATTGCAAGTAAGTTATCCGGTAACAGTGGAGGCCAAATTTCAACTGTGCGGCGGCGAGTCGTTTGTGGAGTTATGGGGCCGCGGAGCAGAGCAGAGCAGGTGCAACCCGCCACCATGAAAATCAGAGAGCGAAGACGTCAGTCTCAGAGTGGTAAAGTAATTGGTGGTGGGGTCCGCACGTGACGGATTCATGGCAACCCATTTGCGTTTCGCAGCTGAAATTGTGGACCATCTCAGATTCCCATGTGATCCACGTGTCCCGCAGCCAGTCAAACACGTGGAACGTGAGGACAAAAGAGCTGCCAATAGTTTGTTGGTCACTGGCTACTGGAGACCAACAGCAATAGGCCAACATTATTTGTTAAAGGAAACAATATTAGGTGGCGTTAGATTTTTAGTGTGTCGGGAATACAAGATAATATATCACATATTAATTGTTATTATACAATTGAAGATATACTTAGAAGAAAATTTAATTCTAATTGTTAATGAAATATGATGTACCGCTTCATGTTGAGTACACTAAAAAATTTATCTTACTTAGCAACCTCGTTGCTCCCCTTCGCTTTATTTACAAAAAGAAAAATACTTTGAGAAAGAATACACTAACCGCGTCATCCGATGAGTTAGTATTACAAAAGTACGAGACGTTTTAGGGGTTTTGATATTACTCGCCTTTGTAGGAATCATAAACCGAGTACGCATATATCATTAAGTGACAAGCTTCTTGTTACAAGTTAGAAGTTGCACCATATTACAAAAGGACGAATATCTCTTTAACTATTAGTATTTTTCTTGTCACGTGATACAGACGGGCTCATTACAGGTTGAAATCTGCCTCTTACTAGGACACCACCGTTTTCATTTATATTATTCCCCTTCATCATCATCTTATTGTTGAGGGAGATCCTCTCACATGAAAAGCCACTTTTGGGCCCACTCCTCCTCACAGCACACCGTTGTTTTTATCATTATTTTTATTTTTCAATCGTGTCCATATTCTCGTGATAATCTAGTTCTTGTCGCGGATAGGTTTGAATGGTGTAATGGTTGGTACTTGGTAGGGTTGAGAGCAATTTGCCTAATCAATCTTATCTATAATCCGTTTACTAATCATATCCCTACATCACATGCTTTGAGGGACAAATGTATTGGTTTATGATTAATCAAGTTGCTAACACCAAAGATAAGCCTAAAAATAGAAACAAATACCAAAACAAGGTGGATTGAAATTTCTAACTCAAATCATTTTCCTCTACCACTTTCTTCAATGAACTTATAAAATTTAGAAGATACTTTCGAATTACAATACAAAGATCAAATTCGATGCTATTGAAAATAAAGAATGACGGTGAAACTATGTGAAAAGTTACGTGGTATAATTTAGTTCTAGAAATTTACGCAAATATTTTAATTGTAAAAAGAGGCGTACGCACTCTAAAGTGTGACGTGACTTTGAACTCTTGAATAGTTTTTTCTAAACATATTTTTATTATAAGCAATATTCATAGTCTAAATACTACTCTAGACACGAGACGCATTGAGGTGAAAAAAAGTCATATCCGCTGAAGCAAACGACTACTTAAATATAAATATATTTGAATCTTATATGATATTTTCCTCCACTTTATAGCTACACAACCTATTAGAGCATCTTCAAAATAAGATATTAAAATGTCCAAATCAGCAACGACAACAATGTTTTTTCAACTGAAAAGTCAAATCTGATATGACATGACATGCATTGGCAGCTCTAACCCTTGCTGCCAAAATTGATAGCAACTTCAAATCATTTTTTAATCGATTACTAAATCCATTTTATTATTAATTTTTGTTTTAAAACATTCATAATAATAATTCAACGTAATAAAATAGTATTTTAATTTAACATATAGATAGATAACAAAAAGCAACACGCAAGTTGTCAAAACTTTCTTGCAATTATATGCTCTCTACTCATTAAATTTAATCACCCATCATAATCATAGTTAGAAGTGGGTTGTAATAGAAAACGGCAATAATTAGTGGGGTGGGCCAAGAGAAAAACTCCAATTTGGACTTTGTACTTTGAAGTGTAATCACAATAAGCATGAGTGCGGATAAACCAATAAACCGTCATTAGCACAAAAAGAAATGCTATTATCTTAACGGTAACTTGTCCAATTTCCCCCGGTAAACGCAATTTCTCGAGACTCTCGTCAGCCGTGACCAACGGCTGGTGGGCTGGATAAGATATTCTCATTTTACAATTTGCCTCATAAATCTTGAGGATCGTTTCAATTTGATGCCGTAACCTTTGAAAGTAG